AGGTCCGCACGGAGCGACAGAGCGGAGAACCGGAGGTCGGTACGGAGCGACAGAGCAGAAAACCGGAGGTCCGCACGGAGCGACAGAACCGGAGGTCCGCACGGAGTGACAGAGCAGAGAACCGGAGGTCCGCACGGAGCGACAGAGCAGAGAACCGGAGGTCCGCACGGAGCGACAGAACCGGAGGTCCGCACGGAGCGACAGAACCGGAGGTCCGTACGGTGCGACAGAGCAGAGAACCGGAGGTCCGCAGGATCACGGCATTTAGAGGATAGCAAAAACTGGTCGGCTTTTAGTCAGTATACTGTGCGTGAGTGAGGCATCCAGGATAACCTGTCGCTTGGTATATTAGCGAGCTGGCACTATAAAACTGACATTAGTCTGTCCCCGTGTGAGAAATACAATCGGAATGTCGGAAAGCGTAATCTCTAAACCATCACCATCATCATCATCATTATCATCATCATCCAGTGAATGCAGTCACACAAACGTGCAAGCAGGCTGCTACAGAAATCAACAACTGTCTGTGCGTCTGTATAAAGTGCAATATCTTGAACGAAAAGTTACAAAACGTTTCACTTACTCTAAAATGTTATACTGTTGATTAGGAATAACAGATGTTTGATTAAAGTAAGAGTTAATGTGACCCAATGAAGTTACAAGAATGTCACAGTGCTAATGTTAAGTAGTTTTTATAACCTTATAGTTTTCGTCATGGTTAAGCAAATTTACTTACCACGAAAGAAAAACTTCCTCATATTTCAGCACTGAACACGCGACGATGCTCTGTGGACAGTGCCACTGCAGTTAATATCTGAATGAATAAGCTAGGGTTTTTCCATATCTCTACCGGGGTCAAAGCCACAGACAGCTCGCGTATCTGAAATAGCTGGCTATATCTATCAGTGCAGGGTCTGCTTTAGGATAAAATAATATCCTTGAGGGTGCAATCTCGATAACTAGTAACGATGGCATTTAAAGGGGCGTAGGTACTTAATCATTTAGCAAATATAAGATTGCGGGACTGAGGTCACACTGTTTGAAATGAAATGTGTGCGCGCGTGTGTGGTGTGTGTGAGTGTGCGTGTTTGAGAGAGCGAGAGAGAGAGAGAGAGAGAGAGAGAGAGAGAGAGAGAGAGAGAGAGAGAGAGAGAGAGAGAGAGAGAGAGAGAGAGAGAGAGAGAGAGAGTATTTGCCATTTAGAAAGTGGTCAAATGTAACATGTACTTCTTATATTTGGGATTACACTTTCTCAGAAAAGAACAGATTCTAGTACTTTTGTTGGGTTGAGTCGCATCTGGGATTCGAACCCACACCCTCAGAGTCAGGCACCTAATCGCCAGCACACATTGTCAGCCGTCTGAAGCACTCAGCACCGCGGTTTCCATAGTGGTGGCTGAGTGGGTTAGACGGCTGACTTTGTGTGCATGTAACACGTTCTAATAACTTTGATATACACCACGTAGATATAAGTTCCTGTATATTACGCATGTAATTTTGCAATACTCTTCCTGTACTTGAAAGAAGTATTACTTTGCTCCTCTTTTACAGGCGTTATTGCCCAGTCTTTCTTTCAGATATTTATGACGACTATCATATCAAAGCTGATATAAAGGCTGATTTAATGAGAAGAGCCTGTTTTGTGAGAACAGACAGTGTATGTGTGCGTAGATTCTGTTCAGTGTTATCATCCTTATATCAAGTCACATCTTGTAAGTGGTCTTTAAAAAAATATGAAAATGTTCTTGTTGTTAGGACACTTTGCTATACAAGGATGCATCGTCTCATGCTTCAGAGCAAGACATTTGCATTGTACATTTGCATACAATGTAAGAATTTTTATGAGCATTTGGTATGGTTTCAAGTAATTTTCCTTGCATAGTTATTGTGTCATGATTACTCGGCCAGAACTCAAGTAATCACTCACACCAGGATATATTCACAGCTGGCCAAAAGAAAGTATGCAGTTGAGAATTGGATTTGGCAAAACAAATACTAACGTAATCGAGATCCAACTTGTCTGAAAACAGCCGTCGAAACACTTTCAACTCCAGGCTTAAAACACGACTATAATATCCTTATCAAACATATCACCATCGATTGACAATTGATTGTTTCTTTCAGAGATCATTAAACCTGAGCGTGTACTTTCTTTTCTCGGCATCTTATTGGCCAAAGAACATTAAAGAAGAATAAAATCCTAATTAATTCGTCAAAAATCGTTTGTACTTGACATCTTTGCCTGAATCAGGGACATGCTGATGAAAACGTGCCAAAGAATATCGGAAAGAATAAAGTCGTAATTATTTCGTTAGAAATCGTCAATGATCGGTATGGCGTGTTTATAGTTTCTGTATATGACGTTGCACTGGCAACGATTAAGGAGGTTCAAGACCGCGGCAATCTGAAGCAGCGCCATCTGCCGCAACAGTAAACAGTCCTTCAGGAATACATTTTCAGAATAAATCAATCATTACATGCAGCCCGCTGACGACATTTCCATGTTAAGATAAACGTGTCGAGGAATCAGCTTTATTGACCATAAACGCTGAATCAGCGATTATCTTAGAGTTTTAGCCTTAGGTAATAACCAGCTTCTCGATTCATTTCCTCCATGTTGTGAAGATCAGGCAGATTGTGCCAGAACCACGATGTAGTGGAGACCAGCATGGGCAATGGCGACGTGACGGCGGTGTGGGACTGTCACGTGGAAAAAGAAGGATTAAACCACAAGCTGCGTGACACTTCTTTGATGCAGCAATGAGGTCAATCTGACACAATATTATTATATAGGTTATACTTTGCTGTACCAAATAGATCCGGCTGACAAATGGGTTGTGGCAAGTTCACCATTTAATCTTTCTGAGAGTGATGATGTCGAGATTGTAATTTGTTGTTTGTTTGATTAAGGCTGCTCAAGGCCAAGGGGTATAAATGTTCTTTTGTTTTTTCTGTTCATGGATGTGTGTACCTTTGTGTGCTTTTTGTGTGTGTGTGTGTGTGTGAGAGAGAGAGAGAGTGTGTGTGTGTGTGTGTGTGTGTGTGAGAGAGAGAGAGAGAGAGTGTGTGTGTGAGAGTGACTGTGTTAAATGTGGTCATAAAGGATATTATAATTATTTATTGTCAGTACCTTTTTTGGACAACCTTTAATCTTTCGAGAGACTTTAATCGCTTTAAACCTTGGAAACAAAAAGTGACCGAATATAATAATAATAAAACACTCCAGCACCGACAGTTAAACACCGACCTGAACTCTGGCTTACAACATCCACACATCAAACCATGAGCCTTAACGCACGTTTACCCTCCCCTAATATCGATGCATTCTTGTATTAAAATATATCTTATATGTCACGTTTTACAACTACAAGTAATATTATAGTCATCAAATATGCTACCAATAGTTCAGTCTGTGTTACCATTCTTCATGTATATAATTAATCTAACACAGGAATACGACATTCAAATCCAGTTTTCACAAATCGTATAATAAATCGTACACCTTCCTTCTATATCAGCAATTAAATCATTGAGTTAAACTCCATGCTACATCGTCACACGTGTGCAGTCGAGATTATTCAACTTACATGCACATATGAGATAATATTTATGTCAGGACACAACATAGTTACAAGGACAGCAGGGGACCTAATTTCATCACAAACCAAGCTAAAATAATTAACGATGACGTAACAAGCAATTGCCGTTTACGCACTGACATTATAAATGGTCATAAGCTGGCATCTCCAGGTGAAACACCTAACCTGTAGACGTCACTTATCAAGATGAGCACGGTGTCAAAGACAGGGGCCACAAACGTCGCCGTAGGCGCAGACGTAATACGTAACGTTGCGTCATCATCAGCTGCGGTAATTGTCTCTCAGGCTATAAGATCTGTCAGAAGCGTTATTTGGCATTTCGGATATGACGTGTTCATTATTCACTGTAATTGAGGTCATACAAAATTCATGAAATAATAATTCATAAAAAATATATCATTATGCTACAAGGGATCAATACGGAAAATCGCCTTGTTTAATATAAACGTAATATAGAAATACAACATTAATATTACATGATGAAATGTGAAACAGCTGACAGGCATTTACATTACATTTTTCAAACAGTTTGATTTACATCGTCATTAACTAACATAATTGTGCCATGTAGGATGTTTACACCGCATGAAAATATATCAAATGGATATTGATTGTAAACCTGCTCAGTCTACTCACGCCACATGTGTTTTCTCTAACGAAGGCCAACACGTTTCCAGTGGCAATTATTTCATTGTTCTATCACCGAAAAACATACCCACGACAGGTGCAGTTACATTCAACGTTGGTGATAAAAAGACGGTAACAGATTAAACAGCTTCTCTAGCCACAGCCGATGATGGTAAGTGGTGTTTAATAGATTTATAACCCGCGAGTGTGTAGCAACTGAAAACCACACTGGTTCTGATCCATAAGTAAGTAGCCCTACGTTGGGAGTTCATGGTCAGTTTCCTTGATCATAGGAGGCTAATAGCTTTGTGAACACAATTACTGGTGTGGCACCATGTCCTGCGGATTACAGCAGTAAGCTCAAGACACAATACAAACGGATCAAGTTATCAGGTGGTGAGATGGTGGAAGAAGGTAAAGCAACATGGCGAAACTTGACGTTGAACGTAAGCGCAGTAGGTGACGTTTGAAATGAACCGTTAGCTAACTGGGTTTATTAGAATCCTGTGTTTTCTTCGAAACGAATCATGTTCAGAAACACTGTGGAATAATTTCAACGTTGACACAAAACAAAACGCTGACTACGCTCTCCAACATGTCATTGATTTCATCTCCCAGAAACGAGGAACACGTTTCTCTCTGGTGATAGTTTATATTTATGGAGATTAAACTCAGCGTTGTTTTGGTTTTGTTTTCCAATAATAGTGGACATTAACTCGAACTACAAATACTTTACTATCTATCTTTATGCGCTGTCGAGGTCAGCCTACGTAGTAATAATAATAATATGTGTATTTATAATGCGCTGAATTCCACACACAAGGCATGCTCAAAGCGCTACATATTTACAAATATTTACAAAGCAAAGTTTATGCTAGAACGAGGCTGAAATTTTTGAAAAGTTAAGTTATAGATTGTAATATTTTCTGAAAAGATGGGTTTTGGTTTTGTTAGTGTTAGATGATAGTTAAAATATTCATTACAGCGCAGATATCGGAGGCTCAATTTTACAACATATATAAAGGTAATTCATACATATATATATATATATATTACATATGTATATGTAACCAGTTTCATCCGAATTGCAAATTTAAAAGTCTTCTGATATCTATATAGACTACTACGATCTCATTTCCTCGTTCTTATCATGTCTAAATTTCCTTGAAAACTGATATGCTAAGGGATATTATAAATCTCCGGATGTAAATTCTTGAGGAAATAAAGAAATTCATTCATTCATTCATATATCGCATCTGAGGAACTGACAAAATCTAAAGACGTCACAGACAAAAGGTATTATGAGAGTGTGTTTGATACACATTGTGAGGTCAAACCTTTCCCCGGAAGAAAACAACGGAAGCCAGTTTGAACTGGTTTTCATAAAATATGCGCAAAAAACCTCGTGCATCTGTGGTATCGACAATGATAATCCCAGCAGAAACTACCACTGCTAAGGTAATCTGTGCAAGGTAACCGGAGAGGGAGAACATGTTTGAGAGAAACATCCGGAAACGTAACTGTTTACGATACCTTGCTGTACGGAATTCTACCATGTGTTCAATATGTTAACGAGAGACGAGGTGGGGTTACCTGTTTTCGTGCACGTGCTGTCTGACGACGATAACGATGATGACGATGTAGACACCGACAACAACGATGTCTCCTCTTCCAACAGAGAGGCAAAACACATGGAGTTCTCTTTGGTTTGACGCACGCCAATTGTCCCACCCATTATCGCATTAATCTTAGCATACAGTTTCGCATGGAACTTTTGAAAGAAATTGGCCATGGCACCACTTCCTGAACCGCCGTTTAAACTAAAGCTGTTTCCAAAGACATTGCAACATTTTCAAAATTCCATGTTGATTAAATAAGTGAGTTTAACTTTGAACGTTACATATGATAAACACCTGAGAAAAATATAATCTACGATTTGCATTGGCGCGACCTTTATGAGCTCAGTTACCGATCCTGGCACAGGTAACGTGATTTGATCACTCAGTTGAAGCAATTCGATTAATTCCCAGCCATTACGCAACAAATCAATAACGATAGATCAATCTTCTGATCTCTGCCACATCCAGAACGGAGGATCTGTGTGAATCCACTTCCATAATCCAATTAATCGAATCTCTTCCGTAATAAAGCTGGATAAACATACCAGTCCAATTAGCAGCACATAAAACCGTTGTAACAAGGGTGAAACATAATACGTTCCATATTTCACATTCCAAGATTGGTTCACAGGAAATCTTTTACTTTACATACACGTTGGAGCAAACACAGAGCCTCCGGTACAAGCATTTCCCAATGATCTTGTGTGAGAGCTGAAGTATATAATGTACACACCGTGTGTCGGAATAACACTTAACACTGCAAGACTACTCGGTGCAAGAGGGGGTCTCGCTCTTGTTTAAACATAGGTTTTCGAACGTTTATAGCTCCCTAATCTTTCTTATCAATGTATTGATAGCGCGGTAGAGTCAACGTCTGTATCGAATGTTCCGGATAGTGCTAAATCTTGGACGTCTGTTTTTGACCATTTGTTCCTGTGGTCCGTTTTGTGAGACCGTGTTTGTTGATGTGATAAAGCAGACGCGTTGCTTTGAGGAGCGTGTGACTGTCGAATATCTGCCGACAGACGTGGAAATTGTTTGTACTTATCTCAAACTTAATTAACCGTTATATCTCTTAACAGTAAATCTGGGTTTGGAAACACATATGGCAGATACGGTGGTCTGTTTGTTCCAGATTGTCAACCAGCAGCTGATAGCATTATCCAAACTTTTGACTATAAAACGATATTGAAGTCATTAATAATGCAAAGTTGACGTAAACGCAGTGATCGATAAAGGCCCATATGTTAACACAAAGCATTCACGGCTTTCATTGAAAACACGAAACTACCGGAATGGACAGAGTGGTTATACGCTTATCTAATAAATTTGTGAAACATTTTTATAACACGTGCTGTTTTACGGATGCTGCGTGTATGGAAGGCCTCGTTTGAGGAACGAAATTAGACGTGTTTTCTCACTTGACATACAACTGAGTGTCTGTTGGTTATTTTACGCCCTGTAAGCAAAATTCCAGCAATATCAGAGCGGGAGACTCCAGAAATGGACTTTACACATTCTACCCCATGTGGAGAATCGAACCCGGGTCTTCGGCGTGACGAGCAAAGGCTTTAACTTCTAGGCTTCACAAGCAAGTAATCTTTTTAAAATTTTCTTAAAATTACTTCCGCAAAAGCACGGCAGAGACAATGGTTTCAAACGTTGTACCGATGGAATCGAACCTGAGACTTAGGGCAGAATAGCGAGGACTTGTCCAGTATGTGTGTTCAAGTGAACAATTGACTTGACTTTGCATGTGTTTGCAAATAGCATTGTCATTTGAACGATTCAGAGTATATCACATGCATGTGTTTGTGAATTCCTATCAAACAGTGACAGCACCAGGTGTTTACATACGATGAGCATCTCTCGCGAAAAGATCATCCTTCATCTTTGACACGCAAGCAATTGCTGTTGGAAGAAACGTTCCGGGAAACACACACGCCACTTTAATATCAGACACTCCATACTGTTCATCTCTGGAATACATCTCCGCTGCGATCAAAACCAAAGAGGAAAAAACATATCAGAACGAAACAGAATCTGGTACTGAAACCATAGAACCTCTGTATTAACCTCCATCTGAGAAATTAGGCACTCGTTCCGTTGCCCTTAAAACGCCATATAACGTTTGAGGAAGCGCCGCCCTAATATACACGTCTTGACAAACAATAAAATAACACTGTTGAGGGCAAATAAAACACTGAGACAGCTGATTCAATATGCTACAAGGTGCGATCATCGGTCGATGATTGGCTCGATAACAGCACGATCGATATCAATGTGCGCACTCTCACAGCGGGTGGCGCCAACAACAGTGAATCATTGGAACCACGTTTGGAGCAAGGCACGTGTCCGGCAATATGTCGTGCGGATCAGCACACACGTGTCTTGATACATCAAGGTCTTTCTACATTAAAGTAATTAACTGAATCTTGCTGGAGGTCAGTAATTGAGACTACTGTTACAATAGGCGGTTGGTAATATATGGTGTCAAGCAGATTCAGAGCAAATTAATAATACTGGATTGAAATATTCGGATTCTTTCACGGGGTATGGGCAGACCAATAAAGGTACGTTGTAGTCGCTATCCTATGGAATCCTAGAAGGGACATTGTCGCGTTGTCGCCATCCCAAAACCAAGCAAAAAGTGGCAAAATAATCAAAGTGCGACAGTGCAACATAGCGACAATACCAAAGGCCAAAATGTCGCGTTGTCGCACTTTGGTTAATTTTGCCGATTTTTGCTTACTTTTTTGAGGGCGACAACATCACAATGCGACAACGCGACAACGTCCCTTCTAGGATTCCATACTTTCCGTTTCTCCAGCTGGGCGTCTTGCCAGGTGACTGACTGACAGTTCAAATGTAATCGCAACATTTTAGTCACTATCAACGGTTTGGGATAGGGTTTCACCATGCATGAACTGTCTGGTTGAGTGAATGAATTTGGTTTTACGTCGCTTTCAGAATTATTGAAGCAATAACACGCAAGCGACAATAGGAATACCCTTTATATTCGTGACGACCGAACACTTCAACCACCAGGCTATCTCGACCGTCACTGGCTGGTAACGTTATATTGTACCCGAACGAGGCTCGGCTTAGCCTCGTGGTTACAACGTCGGCTCCTCATGCGAAGACCCGGGTTCAATTCCCCACATAATAAAATGTGTGAAGCCCATTTCTGGTGTCCCCCACCGCCATATTGCTGGAATATTGCTAAAAGCGGCGTAAAACCCACCTCACTCACTCGTCGTTAAAATGTTCGCGAAGGGCGAAGGGACGGGTTCAACTCCCGCAAGAATCCTGCGTCTAGTTAACACTGGAATGCTGCTAAAAGGACATAGAGCTACATCCAGCCATCCATCTCCTCGCACAGCGTATGTGGCGACAGTGAATCTGAACCAAGACAACCAATACTGTCAAATCAAAATGGGTTTGGCTTTTTGTGCATTCCTGAAACCTGTAGACTGTTGTTTTTAAGATTCAATCTGTTTCTTTCGCAAGATAATTAATCGACTTACTGTAGGCAGGTAATGCCTTCACAACCACGCCAGGAGACTCACGTGCGTCACGAGTTTCGACTGAGTGATCTTCACGTGTAGTTTTTACAGCAATATTTACAAATTACGGAGTTTTTCACAAACTTCTGTTCAAGGCTATTTACACGCTGCTTCAGTTTGCTGTCTGGTTTTCAATGTTTTTGACTTGTAAATGATTCATTCTGACTGGTATTAAAAGATATTACGCGTTTTTAAACAATATTTGTTTCAAAAGTCGTTAACCTTTAATACTCGTGAGACATAAATTAATACTTTCTGTAAAAGATATTAACTGAATACGGATTTTTTTCATTCTTTTATTCAGGCATAAAGGCACACAAACGCCTCCCTTTCCCGCCAAATATGCAAAAAGAAAATAATTGTATTTCAATTCTAATTACTTTCCGGGTTAGGGTAAATATATAGATAAATCATACGAATCTGTGAATACTTTTTAAATAATTTTGAGTACAATATATCTATACATGTAGGCAGCAGTGATTGTCCGGTTTTCTGGAATAACGAGGTTTAACTTTGCCTGGCTTGTACGGATATCTATAGAACGTAACTCGTTCGCAGGGAACTCTATAGAACGGAGATCGTTGGTTCGGACCTGTAAAGAACGGACTGTTTTAATATAACGCCTCAGCAGGCATAAACATAACGATTTTCCTGTCGTGATTGGTTTATAGGACATACGTTAATCCGTGAAACTGCACTTACTACGTTTCCGCCCAGATTAGGGAGGTTTCGCAGACCTTTAGTACCGGTGTT